AAGTTTAACAGGGATTAAAAGCTAAAGTTATGGAGATGATGCACTGAAAGGTGCTATTTCTGGCATCAACCAGTTGGGAGAAGTGTGAGCAGGGGAAGAATCAGGGCCAAGAGGAAAATATTGCCTTCCCCAGCTTAAAACAAAACAACCCAGACTCTAAGGTTGATTTTGAAAGGAGACTTGCCCGGGAGAAGGTAAGCTGGATTGTGTGACTCCAAATTTATCCTGAGACTCACCTTCTTGATGGTCTCTTGATGATTATGGTGGCTGCAACCGTGCAGACCTCAAAGGGACCCACTTCATCTGTGATTACTGTGGCCAAAGATTCCCATCCTTCTTTTAGTTCCAGGCAGCAGAGGAGAAACGGCTTGGACTATTAATATGTATGTGCAAGTGTACTTAAGGCTAGAGGATAACCAAAGTTAAGTAAATATGGTGAATACCTAAATTTAGATAATCTGATGATAAAATCTAATCTTCTCTCTGGAATTTGTAATCTCACATCAGTGTAGGTGCCTGGAAATTAACAGATCTTTTTTTATATCTCTTCCTCTGGGTTCCCAGTCTTCCTCCACATGGGAACTCCATCTTTAATACATAACCCCTGGGAGCACCAACCTAGATATGTGGACTCTCAAAGTCTAAGCTAAGAGAATGAGGAGAAGTCCTCTCTACCTGCAGTTTGCCCTTCCAATTCCAGTTTATAGGTAATGATGGAACATTTGAGCTTAGCCTTTAGTACCAGACTCCCTGAGTACAAACCCCAGCTCTACCTCTTAACAGTTGTGATCAGGATTCAGTTAACATTTCTTTTTATTATTATTATTATTAATTTATTTATTTGAGGGGGGGAGGGGCAGAAAGAGAGAGAGAATCTCAAGCAGACTCCCAATGAGCAAAGAGCCCAATGCGAGGCTCAATCCCACGAACCTGAGATCATGACCTGAGCTGAAATCAAAAGTCCAATGCTTTAGCGACTGAGCCACCCAGGCACCCCACGATTGACATTAACATTTCTAAGTCAGATTCTTCATCTGTAAAATGGGATAATAAAATTTTTAATTTCAGAAGTTTGTGGTAAGGAATAAAAGAGATAAGTCCTTAGCATAGCGTTCAGCACATAGAAAGTGCTCAGTGTCAGCAAATATTAGATGTAAGCGTAAATAAATATTATATAAATAATAAATATAAATATCATGAAGACTAACTCTTCTCTTGGGTGACTGATAGAAATTACCTTACCTCCTACTCATATTGATGTGGCTCAACTTTTTAGGCTATCACAATAATGATTATATTTGAGAATGTGACTTCACAGCCCAAAAATTCATACAAGAAATACACTTATATGTAGTAACTGGGATGTGGAGTAATTTCTTTATGAGGCCTAAATTACACTGAATAGGAACTTGTTTTCTCATAAATATAAATATAATCACTAGTATTTTTGTTATCATTTTTATCGAGAGGGAGAGAGAGAGAAAAGTATTTACTTAAGGAATTGGCTTACAAGATTATGTGAGCTGACAGGTCCCAAGATCTGCAGTCAGCAAGCTGGAGACCCAGGAGAGCTGATGGTATAGTTCTAGTCCAAGGGCAAGAGACTAATGTCCTGGCCCAGCAGTCAGGTAGGCAGATGTTCTCTCTTACTTAGCTTTCTGTTCTCTTCAAGTCTTCATTTGATTGGGGAAACCCACCACATTATCAAGGGCAGTCTGCTTTACTCAGTCTACTGATTCACATGTTAATCTCATCCAGAAATACCCTCACAGACACACCCATAATAATTTTCTGACCAAATATCTGGGAATCCTATGACCCAGTAAAGTTGACACATAATAATCATCACAGGGACTGAAAAAACATGTCCTTCCTCCTTTCCAAACTTCTACTTAGGGATAAAAGGCATAGAGTGGAAGTGGGATGGGGATTTATCAGTGAGATCTGGGTTACCACAAGTGAAATAATTTTAAGACCGAGGACTTAAAAACTAAAAGGAAACAAGCTTTTTTTTTTTTTTTTATTCCAAAGACTCAAGGCCACAGTCTTAGTCTGTTCCAGCTGCCATTACAAAATATCACACACTGGGTAGCTTAAACAGAAATGAATTTTCTCACAGCTCTGGAGCCTGGAAATCCAAGACTAACATCTAGCAGGGTCAGTTTCTGGTGAGACCTCTCTTTCTGACTTATATACAGCCTCCTTTTCATGTCCTCACATGGCCTTCCTCTGTGCATGTGCACTCCTGGTGTCACTTCATCTTCCTACAAGGACACCAGACTATTGGATTAGGGCCCCACTCTTAGTGACTTCATTTAACCTTAATTACCTCCCTAATGGCCTTGTCTCCAAATAGTCACAGTGGGGATTAGGGCTTCAACATAGGAATGGGGGGTGCACAATCCAGCATTTATGGGGTAGTCATGGCTCCCTCCAGCCCAAACCCCATAAAGGGAAGGATGACAAAGTTCAAAGGACATCATCATAATCACTAGTATTGTCATAATGAGACATTAAGAACCTGGTTCTTAATTTAGTGGTTCACAAAGAGAACTCAAAAATCATTTTATTCAACAATGTTTATTGAGGATCTTTGATACACTCAACTAGCTACTTTTTTTTTGTCTGATGCATTTATTTCTATATCCCCCACCTAGACAGTATCTGACACATTGTAGATACTCAATAAATATCAGTGAAATTGATTGAAAGGGTAAGTGCTCAGGAGCTTTGAGAGATCCGGATCTCCCAGACAGCTCTCTCCCACCCCCAGCCTCTGCTATGTCCGTGCCTGGCTCATGGACACTGACCCTTGGGCAGCTCATCATGGGCTTGTTGATCTAACAACCACTCAACTTTGCTCCCTGCATTCTGTCTTGGCCTCTGTCCCAGGATTTCCAGGAAATCCAAACCCAGCTGTTCTCAGTCTTGTCTTTGCTATTCCTTACTGATCTCTGTAACTTGTGGGGCTCTTGCTCCTCTGTGTGGCAGATACATGAACGGCCAGTCATATTGGGTCTGTTGTCAATCCTATGGCCACATAGCAGGTCTTTTTTTAATGTAAAATTTAATTAGTGAACATATAGTGCAATATTGATTTCTGGAATAGAATTCAGTGATTCATCACTTACATACAACACCAATGCTCATCACAGCAAGTGCCCTCTTTAATACACATCACTTGTCTAGCCCATGCCCCACCCGCCTCCCTCCATCAACGCTCAGTTTGTTCTCTGTTAAGTGTCTCTATGGTTTGTTTCCCTCTCTCCCTTTTTTCCTTTCCCCCTTCCCATATGTTCATCTATTTTGTTTCTTAAATTCCACATATGAGTGAGATCATATGATATTTGTCTTTCTCTGACTGACTTATTTCAGCATAATACACTCTAGCTCCATCCATGTCATTGCAAATGGCAAGATTTCATTCTTTAGATGATTGAGTAATTTTCCATTGTATATATACACCACATTTTCTTTATTCTTCAGTTGATGGACATTTGGGCTCTCTCCATAGTTTGGCTATTGTTGATAATGTTGCTATAAACATCAAGGTGCATGTACCCCTTCGAATCTGTAATTTTGTATCCTTTGAGTAAATACCTAGGCTCAACTAGCTACTTTTGATGGGGAGGACAACACAACCCTTGCCTTTAAGGTGTTCCAATTTTGTAGGAACGTTTAAGCACATGCACACCCACACATATCTAGAATCCAAAGTGGAAAGTAATAAATGTAATGGAAGAAGTAATGGAATATGCTATGGGATTTGGAAGAGAAAGAAATATATAGTTAGTAATAGTCATCCTTTATTGAGCATTTACCATTATATGCTTGGGAGTTAGCTTAATCATGATTCTCAATTTTCAGGATCTTACATTATAAGACAGACAAAAATTCAACTCGTAATCTAATAAGTACTGTATGTATCAGTGAGTAAAGTGTAGTACTTTTGTCAAAGCAGCTCTGTGTAGTAGTATCATGAAGAAAAGCCATTAATTTGCCTGGAGTGACTCGATGGTTGGTGGTCAGGTGCCTGATAAAAGTGGGATGTGAGACTGGGTTTCATATTTTAGCAGGGATTGATTGGCCTCTGCTGGGGAAAGTGGATGGAGGTTTAATAATGTTGCCAACATCTGAAGTGTAAAAAGAGGGGCTCTTACCAAGGCCAGACCCAGTTGCCCCCAGCCCTCTCCAACTAGAAAGTAGAGGAAATCCCTTGCCCTTCAACATCATTGTGGCTACCAAGAGGAGGTCCTATTATTGGGCAAAGAGGAAGCCAGAACTCTTGTATCATTTAGTACATTCTGGGCTTAAAAGTAGGAAGAGGGAGTGATGATAAATGGATCAAGAAAGAGATTTGAAAATAATGGTGGAGGAGTGATGTACACTGATAGAGCAGTAGAAACAGAAACAGCTTAAGTATCGAGCACCTGCTGTGTACCAGGAGCTTTATGGCTTTATATATGTTATCTCAGTTAACTCTCCAGTGACCACATAGGCTTTGATGGAAGTAGAAACAGGTTAGTAGAGCAGAGGCTCAGCAACTTGCTCAAGCACAGGCAGGTAAGAAACAGAGCTGAGCTTGGAAGCCTGCTCCTAGCAGTGAGGCTTGCGCTCTCCTGGGTTTAGGGTGACTGCAGTCAACTAAACCCCAGTCAGGTGGCTAGTGTTTGGCAGCAGGAAGAGAATGAAAGTTTGGGCAGTGATGAACATTTTGTTTAGCAGCACTTTTACATTTCTTTCCTAAGCAGCTTTCCAGCTAATGGCCGATCACACAGAGTGTACAAGTGCGCTTTGCTAATAAATAGGACTGCCTCCCCCACCGAGCCACGGAAGCGCTAGGAACCCAACCGCGCAATTCCCAGCACAACAGCGCCCAAGATGCCTGAGGGTGGACCCAGAGGCGGGGTGGGGCCACCTCTGCTGCCCCGGGATTTGAACCGGGGGTGGGCGGGGAGGAGCAATTGTGACCTGCCCCGGTCCCTCCCCTCCCTGGGCACTGTGATGCTGCAGGGCAGCTGCTGGCCCAGCATGTCTGTCCCCGGCCCCCTCCCGCCCGGTGTGTCACAACAGCGGAGGCGGCTGTATCTAGAGCAGTTGGGGTGGGCAGGCCCAGCTGGGAGGCAAGCCGGCGAGGAGAGCAGCCGCGATGGTGAGCCTTTCCAGGGCCCGGGGCTGGGGGCCGGAGATCTGGGGCGCGGGGCTGGCACCCAGCGGAGAGCCATATCTACGCGGGGGCTAATAGATCCATCGCTTTGGATCTGCAGAGTTTGAAGTCTCTTGGGGTGTCAGTTCAGGGTCGAGGGGGTCCGTACCCTCGGGCGGAGGACACTCGTGCCAGTACCCTTTATAATATACATGAAGTAGAGACCTGAGGCGAATCGCCCCCCAAAGGGACCTAAGGGAGATTTGCGCACGCAGGTGAGGAGAGGGAGGACTTGGGAAGCCCGCGCTGAAGAGGTGAGATTCTGAGGGATCCCCAGACGGGCAGCTCAGGGTCTAGAGTGGGGTAAGTAGGAGACAATCCAGGGATTCCAGATGGGTGAGCTGGCCCCGGCGGCTGGGGGAGTGGGTGCAGTTAGGTCCCCAAATCCAATCAAATGTGAGAGAGCCCCAGAATGTGACAGAGGACTTAGGGCGTCACAGTCTCCCCACGCTTGAGGTTGTTCTCCTTTCTCGTCTCTGAACATTAGCTTGCGTTTGGGGGGGCATTTAAAACTCGAGTGCTCTCAGCCTCCCAGACACCTGGCACCCACTCCAACTCCCCAGTTTTTCCAGCTGTCGAAATGGGAAGGTTTTTGGCACACAGAAGTCTCCCTCCCAAAGGCAAGGGGACCTCAGACTTCTCTTTTTGTTTACTATCATGGTTAAGGCTCAGGGGCGGCTCCTTTCTCCCTCCCCGAAATCTATCTCCTTTTGCAGACGCAGATCTTAACTTGCTGGAGGGGGCCTCTCCAGGCCCTCTAGAATGCCCCCCCCCCCCCCCCCGCTCTCCCCCCGGAGTGGGTAAAATTGTTCCTGATCCACTTCCCTGAATGCCTGAAAACCCAGACTCTCCTTGTTCAGAGCCCTGGTATTTTGGTAGCGGGGAGGTGGGTTGGGAGGATTGGGTGGAGGAGGGGGACAGAATAAGCAAGTCTTGTAAGCCAAGGTCAGATTCTCTGGGCACTCTTGCTCTAGGTGTCAGGTGACCGAGCAGGGCAGGCAAGAAAACTCCGCTCCTCCCCCAGCCTCTGCTGTGTTTGGAAAGTGCCCAGGGCCTCTAGCTCTGGCTCCAGCCCTGTTTCTAGCTAGAGGTCTGTCCAGCAGCCTCTCTCTCGGGAGCATGCTGGCAGACCCACCTGGGAGCTTGAAGAACTTGGGGGATATTGGTGATAGTGGCCAAAGGAATCCATTCCTGTCCGAAGTCCCTGATGTGAGGCCATAGAAGAAGCCCAGAGAAGAATTTTGACTCCTGGCTCTGCAGCGAGCTTCAAGAAGGTCGATTAACCTCTCTGGACTGGTTTTCTCATCCACAAAATGAAGAGGGGTTATGGTTACAATTTCCAAGGCTCCACCTAGCTTTACTATTTTAAACTTCTTATTGTGGAGAATTTCAAACATATACAAAAGGGGAGAGAATGATATAATGAACCCCAGTATATGCCTCATCCAATTTCAACAATTATCTACTTAGGACAAGTCTTGCTTCATTTATTCCCCTTTCCCTCACTTCCTATTATTCTGAAGCAAATCCTAGGCAGCATACTCAGAATTTGATATTTAATATTTATAATATCTAGAATGTAGCGCTCTATAATTTTCAAAGTGTTTTCTCTTGCATGTTTTAATTTTGACCTGAATGCCGTAGTGACTCTCAGAGTAGAGCCTAAAGGAGGCTTACAGGGGAGTCAAGGATCGTAATCTAGCCCTCTGAACAAACTTTGATATATATTCAATAGGCAAGTTTCTGAAAATATCTGGTAAATAAAAATTTTTAACAGTAAAACCTTATTTTAAATGTGGCTGTTTAACTGAAAACCTGTGGTTGAATATTTTGAAAAGAGAATATCTTTTATTTATTTTGAAACTGAATTTTGTAAAACAGGTTGTGTTTAAAATATTTAGTTACATGGGCAGCATTGTCTTAATGGGAAAACATTTTTTATTGGCCATTTCCTACTCATAGAACCTCTTTTTAAAAATCTCTTGACCCATTCCTGAAAGGCTACGATGACACATCAAATAAACGAAGACCCAAAGAATCCTACCCTTGCAGAAAGAACTTTACTTTAACAGATTGTTTCAGGCAGCCACCCTCCAGGATTCCCTTCCCTTGTGGGGGTTGGAGGGAGAAGGCTGCTTCTGTGTGAAGAAGAATTAGATTCAGCATTTCTGTAGATTCTGAGTAAGAAATGTATAACTAATCCTATAACTGAGCATTCCCATCTGCTCCCAGTGTCCTTCCAGTAAGCAGTTCTTCTGGGAACTGAGACTAGGACACCTTTGGAGAAAGTGGGATGGAGACTCCTGGCCAGGTGTCCCAAGCCAAGCCCATGTCAAAGATACCAGGGCACAGAGAGAGTGTCTGGGTTTATGGGGAGGTGAGAACATCTGCAGCACAGCCTCCTTAACTGCATTCCTTCTGAACCAGGGAGCACTGGTTCAGATGGGGATAGGCATGAAGTGGCAACAAAGAGCCTGTTTCCTCAAAAAAATAGAGGGGAGGGGAGAGTGCGGGGGGGGGGGCGAGAGGGACACTGCTGTGTCTGCAGTCCTCTGCAAACTGCCCCCATGTAGGCAGGTGTGGCTGAGCTCTGCAGGGTCCATACTTATTTTCTGACCTCAGACCACTTCTGGAGTCACTGCTGCATCTGCCCTTCCCATTACTAAGGACAGATTCCCCCAGACGTTGTGGGGGAACATGCCTCTGAACAGCAGAGGAGCCCTGATGACCAGAACTTCCCTCGGCAGTGGCTAGGGCACAGGTGCTGGCTAAATGAGGAGGAGTTTTCATAGGAAGCTTCCAGGCTCAGGTCAGGCCATGCAGAGCTAGAGGGCCACTGCTGTTGCTGAGTTTCCTTTCTGAGGGGGCTTCTGAGTGACCTTGAGAGGAAGATGAAAAGTTAAAAATAACTTCTGAGGGGGAAATAACTGGTGAATTCAGGACCCATGATGGGGGTGGGTGGACCCAACTGCTCCTTCCTTGGGAGCGGAAGTGGACCAACTGCTCCTTTTCCCTTTGGCCACCAAGGGACCAGTAATGCTATCTGTGGCCATTGTTGACATTTCCCCTGTGTCTTCCTGTTAGAATTTCTCCCACATAATGAACTGTGGAAGAATGGGAAAATGGAGTAGGTGGTTATGCACCAGATTAAAACTCCTTAACTGTCTCCCACACTTGCCCCTGAGGTCAGCTAAAGCCTAAGGGCCTTCGGACACCAGTGGGTCTCTTAGGCTGGGAGTCTACTTACCGCACACCCCTGCCATTCCTAAAGGTGGTCTTATGTCATCCCTATTGCTGCCCTAAATGCAGTGCCTATAATCTGAGCCCCCTCTCTTGAGCTACTTTCACTCACTGATGTTAATTTAGGTCAAGTTTTTGTTCTTGCTGTTTCTGGCTTGCTATCTTTTCTTTGTTCTGAGTGATTACAAATATGCTGTAATTGAAGGGTTTTGAGCAGAGATAATTCAAGCAATCTTTTATGAATCACATTTCTTCTTACTTTAGTTATTCCTCCGTAACACTGTGGATCTACTTTTTATTTGCCATCTTTGACCTAGATCCTAAAATATAGGTAATTTGTTAGCCCAACCTGACAACTAGACATAATTTGGTAATAATATGCTTCCTGAAAGCAACTGTGTGGCATTTGACCACAGGGGATGTGGACTGGTCTCAGGTTTTCACATGGCATATACCACTGGTCTGTGTCAGTTCCTTTCCTAGATAATATGCCAGTTTTACGATACTTCAGAATGATTTTTGAAGCTACAAAGCCTCCTTCTACAGAGGGTCCTAATTAGCTGATCTTAGTCCTCTGAGAGCAAAACAAAAGGGAATGACTAATATTAAGTAGAAATATAAGATTGATATAAGAAAAGGTTTCTTATAGTGGAATTATAAAAGGACTGTAAGGTTCTAGAATTTCTTTTTGATATTCTGCAAAACATAGGGTCCCCTCCCCATGGAAGATGAAGGTAGGTGGCACAGATGTCTCATCTGCTCTGCTTTTCATGAGCCTACACGTCAGGCAAACTGTGCTGTTTGTGGGACTTGCCCTAAATTTTCCTGCCTCTTGTTCACATTGCTCCTAAGCTCAACTAAAATGATCATTTTGGCATGTCTAAATTCGTCAAGGTCACTGCAAATATTCCGTTCCAGGAAACCAAGCCAGAGTTGTTTTTTTCTCCTTTGAACTCCCATTGTGTCTTTGGCACTGGCTATTCTCTTGTTAAATAGATTATAAGACCCCTCAGTGCAGAGTTTTCATTCTAATCATCCCTACATTTATTGAGCACTCACTACATTCAAGCATTGTGCTTGATGCTGAGGATGCACTGAGTAAGCAAGAGTTCCTTGCCCTCATAGAACTTATTCTCTCTGCTAGGAAAGTCAGAAAATTGAACAAGCAGCCATAATATGGTATGATAAATACAATGATAGGGAAGAAGAGGATTGTGGGAGCACATAATAGGGGCCCTGTGCTGGTTTGTGGTTTTCCAGACTTCCTGTAAGAAGTGACATTTAATGAATAGGATGAGTAGGAGTTAGCCTAGTACCTTTTGATACCTTCTTACACATAATAATACAATAAATATTTGTTGTAGGAATGAACAGAGTGGGTAACTCTTGTAGTTATACCAGCACTAGGTCTGTAAAGATATGTCATACTTTTCTTGAGGAAAGGAAACTCCTTTATTAGGTCTCTCCATCTCCCTCATCTTCACCTTCTGGATTGCTGGGCAGAGAGGTTCAGCAGCACACAGAGGACCCCCTTCACCTCCCAGCATCCCTGGAGCACAGAAGTGGTCTGAGGTCTACAAGCCCAGATTCAAAGTGGAACTGAGAGAGAGAAATAGTGTGAAAGAGAAAACATGAGCTCTGATTGGCTAGAGAGGGGAATCTGAAATCTGAGTTTGGAGCAAATTTAGGACTTAAATATCCCCTGCTGGGTCAGCTGCTTCTATACTTCGGCCCCCTCCCTCTCCTTGTACACACCAGCCCTGAGAAACAGATTCCTGGTTCTATCAGAGAAGGATGACCCATTTTCAAAGAGGCTACCACCATAAGCCATTCTCAGTTTCTCTCTGCGCTGGAGCTTTTTTCTGTTTGGAGTTTTGCTATACAAGCTTGGCCTTGCTATATACACACTCAGGCTCGCACTGATGTAGATGTGGGCATACCCCAGGGCCCTGGAAGTTCAGAGTGCAAGTGAGGCTGGTGGTTGTGTTGTATAAAGGAAAGAACTCAGGCTGAGGTCAGAAGACCTGGATTCCAGTCTGGGCTCTTGCTGCAGAGCTGTGAAATCTTGAATCTGTCCCTTTACCTTTCTGAGCCTCAGATTTTTCATCTGTAAAATGGGGAGGGAATCATATTTGGTGATCCATGAGGCCAGTCTGGTTCTAGTGTCCTAAACATTTACAGTTGACATAACATCCCTGGTTATGCCAGATGGATGACCTCTCTTTGGCATGAGGGGTGACCTCACAAGGCCATCAGCACTGGGTCTGCTCTGTGTTTATCTATGTAGAACTTCTAGGGAGGAAGAGGGGGATGGTGATCAGGCAGTGACTGGAGAAGGCTAGCTCAGTGCCCTGACAAATTAGTTCTTAATATTGTTAGTTGAATAAATGACTAAGTGAAATGGGACAGGAAGAGCCTGGGCCCTGCAGGATAAGGTAATTATGGTGAGTGGAATCTTTACTCCCATTCTTCCTCTAGTTCCTTTCTTTAATTTTTTTCTTTTTAGTATGAAAAATTTTAAATATCTGGAATAGTACTATAATGCCACCCATACATATATGATCTAGATTTAATAATAATTTTTCTGCCATTTTTACTTTACCTGCTGTGTTTGTTGAAGTATTTTAAAGTAAAAAACAGACGTCATGGCATTTTGCCCCAAATGCTTTAGAAGTGACCCTCAAAAACTAATGATGTACTATATGTTGGCTAACTGAACATAATAAAAAAAAAAGTGACCCTAAAAAATAAGGATATTGTCATACCTAACTATACTTTCATTATCATGCTTAACAAAGTTAATCAATTTCTCTCTTTGTCCCCCAAATAATTTTGATTTGTTCAAACCAGAATTCAGGCAAAATGCATATACTACATGTGGATTTATGTTTCTGGAATTTCTTTTGATATGGAACAGTCTCTCCTTTTATCTTTATTTTTTATGAACTAAAAAGATTGTATCAGTTGCCCTATAGAATGTTTCACCTTCTGGATTTATTTTATTGTTTTCTCAATACGTCACTTATCACTCTGATCCTGGTGTTTTCTGTAATGTGGAAACTAAATTTAAAGTGTTTAATAGATTAAGGATGAGTATTTTTGTTTTGTTTTTGTTTTTTTTTAGAAAGAGAGTGAGTGCATGCGCAAGACTGAGTGGGGCAGGGAGGGGCAGAAGGAGAGGGAGAGAGAGAATCCTTGGCAGGCTTCAGGCCCAGTGCAGAGCCTGATGCAGGGCTCAATCTCACAACCCTGAGATCATGACTTGAGCCAAAATCAAGAGTTGGACGCTTAACCAACTGAGCCACCCGGGCATCCCAAGGCTAAGTACAAGAATTCCTCATGGGTGGTGTTGTGTATGTCATGTTGCATCACATAAGGAGGTTCTTAATGTCTGGTTTTCTATCAGTACTGTTAAGATTGATCCCAGTGTTTGGCTAGTAACTGTTGTGGTTACTTTTTCCCCTTGTAACCTGTAAGTAACAGTGATTTTTTGGCGCTATTTGAATATCCATTTCTTTTCCCATCAACCTTTCACTTAATGGTGTTGGCATCTTTGTCCAAATCAATTATGTAATTAAGAACTGTAATATGGAGGGCGCCTGGGTGGCTCAGATGGTTAAGCGTCTACCTTCAGCTCAGGTCATGATCCCAGGGTCCTGGGATCGAGTCCCGCATCGGGCTCCCTGCTTAGCGGGAAGCCTGCTTCTCCCTCTGCGTCTCTCATGAATAAATAAATAAAATCTTAAAAAAAAAAAAAGAACTGTAATATGGCAACATTTCTTAATATATCATTCCTTGTACATTTATTAGCTGACATTCTTCAGTTTAAAAAAAGAGCTTTCCCTCATCAACAGTGCTGTTTGTGGACAAATGAATTTTGTTTTCTTTTCTTAATAACACTAAGGAGTTGTGGATTTTTATATACATCCTGTTGCAATCAAGTACCATTCTTCTTCTTTTTGATGCTCATACTGTCTCATCTTTGGCAGTGGGAGCTTCTTCAAGTTGGTTTCTGAGATCTTTCGACATCATCCCAGTCTGTGTTAGCTTCTGTGCTTTCAGGCACCATAAGATGTTCCAGGCTCATCTTATATATGCCTTGCCCCACACCTAGAACTCTTCATTTCTCCCAGGAGCCCTGGTTCCTGTTAGTGGGGAATGGTATTGAGGGAATCTTCCTTTTCTCTTGATTGGTGTAGTGGCTTTTGGGTTTTGGAAGCATCTATGAACGTATCAGTTATTTCTGAGCCTCTTTTATACTTCCAGTTACTCTAAATTAGTTTAACAGGGAAAATAGCTCTTCCTAAGGGGTGTGTATGTATGTGTGTGTGTGAGAGAGAGAGTTTGTGAAGATTGGCATATTTATCAGTATGTGTGAGATTAAAGGGGATATCAAAAGAGGCTGATATCATTAATATCACCATATTGTTAGTTTTCTGGTCCCAAAGAGCCTTTACTCTTCCTCCTATGACCTCTGATCTTTCTGATATATCCCTGCATTCTTGCTGAAAAAGAAAGAGTGTTCCAGGGGTGCCTGGGTGGCTCAGTCGTTAAGCGTCTGTCTTCAGCTCAGATCATGGTCCCAGGGTCTGGGATCGAGCCCCACATCGGGCTCCCTGCTCAGCGGGAAGCCTGCTTCTCCCTCTCTCACTCCCCCTGCTTGTGTTCCCTCTCTCGCTGTGTCTCCCTGTCAAATAAATAAATAAAATCTTTAAAAAAAAAAAAAGAAAGAAAGAGTGTTCCAGAAGGAAGGGCTGACTGGAGCGCAAATAGCACCACAGATAGGCCTGGAGGATAGTTGGGGTGTGGTGGTTGTTGGTGCGGGGGTGCAAGGTTCCAAAGACTGAGGGTCAGGGCCACAGAAGATGCTGTCACCTAGAAGGTGATACATAGGATCAGACTTTTTTTTTTTTTTTAGGTCTCTCCAAAGTCCCATCAGCTTTACATACCTCTTCAGGAAGCCATGGCTGCCTGGATGTGAAAGATGTGGACTGATTGATAACACGCTGGTTGTGGGGTGGTTCCTGGGTGTAGGACACTTTTTTAAAGTCTGAATTAAGACCTAAGGTGAAGGCAGAAAATAGATCTCACAGTAAAGGTGAGTAGAATGGGGACCTGGAGTCTCTAACTTTCCACCTGTGTTTCTGGGTGGAGAATAAAGCTACAAGATAGTATCATAATGAAAATGATAATGCTAAAGGCAAAAACAACTATAATCATGGCTAACTTATTATTTTCAGATGAGGCGAAGTTAGTTAACTCAGCCAAGATCACACAGCACAGCAAGTAAATGGAGAAGGCGAGATTTAAGCCCTGGGGTGTGGACAGCTTTGTGAGTGAAGCCTTTCTTTGGCCACCAGATTCATGGAAATATAGCTGGGTTGTATTCCCAGATAGGGCTACTTTTCATACTGGCTGCTGTGAACACCTGTGCCCTATGCTCCCCAAGGCAAGGGCATAGAGACAGGTGTAGGGTAGGTGCCCAGTTCTAAAACTGAATTAGGGAATAATGGGTCCTGGCACCTCTGGCTCTTTGAGGTGTTATTCAGGGCAGCTGCCCTGTTCCCATGACCAGAGAACCTCCAAGTTCCCTCTGACTCCGTGTGTTTCAATGCCCAGACAAATTCTCTGGAGGCCCTTCTTCTGGCTTGGGTTACCTAGCTGGAAAATGCCAGGTCAGGTCATGGATAAGAATAGAACCCATGGACGAAGCACATGCTTCCCAGCTGGGCTCTAGCAGGCATCACAGGCACAGAGCCACGTGTGCTGGCCACTGCTTCCTCACAGGTGGGTATATGGAGGTGATGCGGCCATGCTTTCTGGTAAAACCCCAGCTTTTGTTAATACACACACATTCTCTCTCTCTCTCTCTCATGCACACACACACACACACACACACACCCATTCTCATCCTCAACTATTAGTATTATGACCAATCAGGTAATTGTGGCTTCATACCAGAGTAACAAAGAGGTGAGGACCCTGTAAAGGTCAGCTTTAATATGTGGCCTGACATAGGCAAAGGAGCAGATTATGGTGGCTACAAAGAAATTTTCCAACTTCAGGAAGAGCCTAATTTATACACTCCCAATTCTCCTTTGCTGATGTAACAATCCTTTCTTCTTCCTACATTTGTGACCAGAATACTAAAGACACCCATGATACCTACTTACAAAGTATTTTCCTTCCATGAGTGTTTATCTCTTCCATGATATTCTGAGTGTGTGAGCATGTGTGTGTGTGTGTGTGTGTGTGTGTGTGCGCGCATGCATGAGAGAGAGAGGGAAAGGGAGGGAGGGGAGGGAGGGAAAGAGAGAAAGAAAAGGAGAAAGAGAGAGATTGAGAGGGGCTGTTGTCTAGGAAGGTCAGGGTTTAGGCATGAATATGAAAGCTGCCACTGTGTATGGTAGTGAATTTATGGACAGTTTCTGCTGTTATCATTGATTCATCCTTTGACCTCCTTCATCAGTACAGGAATTTCATGGTTTGGAATTAACCCCTTGTTTTATCAGTATAGCTGTCCTCTTTTTCCTTTTCTTGGCACAAAGGATTAACCCTGGGAAACAACCTTTAGAGCAAGCCTCAGAGCCAAGTCTCAGTCGATGCAGTGGTGCCCAGACACCTGACACCTCAGACACCACTTGGTTTTATATGGCATGGTTGTAGGGACGGATATCCTGCGAGTTGAATGACAGGGAGAAACAAGTCCTCAGATATGCAGGATATAGCATAAGAGCATGACGAAGGCCTAAGACTCTCTGACCTTGATTCTGCACTCTCCTCACAGCGGGAGTGCATATCAGTCCACGTGGGTCAAGCAGGAGTTCAGATTGGCAATGCCTGCTGGGAGCTCTTCTGTCTGGAGCACGGCATCCAGGCGGATGGCACCTTTAGTGTCCAGGCCAGCAAGGTCAACGACGATGACTCATTCACCACCTTTTTCAGTGAGACTGGCAATGGGAAACATGTGCCTCGGGCTGTCATGGTAGATCTGGAGCCTACTGTAGTAGGTGAGTATGGGCTAGGATCCTTTCCACAGAAAACAACATGAAGCTGCAGAGCCTTTGGTCCATAATAGCTAAGGAAGCAGAATCTCTAATTGGAAGGTGGGGGTGGCTCAGCTAGAACCTCCCCACCCCACCCCACACTTATTTCTGCTAGTTTCTTGAAATCTCCACAGTCTGGGGGAGTCTTACAATAGGAATCACAGATCTCTGTTCCCCATAGGTTATAGCTGTAACCTATGCAGAACAAAATACCCTGTACTTAAACCCCTTAAACCTGCTGAGAAAGATCCAAATTGTCAAGATTCTTAACTATATGCTAAGAGTAAAAAATAAAAATAATTTTAGGAATTATGAGAGGTCTCCAAATAGTCAATTTTCCAAAGTATAGGTTTCTGATTCTATAATAATTGCAGTCTTTTCTCATGGGTCTGGCATAACCTTGCATATCTTACAAAAAATGGAATAATAGCAGACACATTCTCTTACAGCCAGAGGTTGCTGTAGTTCTAGAATGAACCTCTTTGGGATCCTAGAAAACAAGACTTCTGATTTGTGTTGGGACAGGGTTCTTGGTTCTTCACCTTTCCCTTGATTCCCCCTCCCCTCCCCACCAACATCACTTCCCTTGGGTCTGACTCCTGGGTCAATCCTCAGCTCAACATCAGGATTTCCTTAGCTTCAAGGCTAGTTCACCAAGCAAGGGATGGGTAAGTTTCACGGAGATATCTGGGCTAATGTCTGTAATGCCTAAACACTAATTTCTAGGGGCAACAGGTACACAACCCTTGGATACTTTGTACAAATACAAAATGTGCAGATTACCCTCCCAGGCACTATGCAAATGGATGATTTCCCTGGGTGGGGGCGTAGAGGAACTCTGAAGAAAAGAGGGCATGTAGTTGGGCCTTGATACATCTTGATCTGCTATATATCTACTTTGTGTGGACCCTTGGAGGTGAGCTGAATAGCCACCCTCTCTAGGGTTCCTGCTCTTCTAGAATCTGGAGCATAGCTCTGCTTCAAAGTCATTCTAAAATATCTCCAGTGCCTGACATATATTAGGTTAGGGGTGGGACAATTCCTGGGAGAGCAGATCACCTAGAATCTTTCTCTGTATCCCTAGAACATTTTAGTGCAAGTGAAATTGGGTTAAAGTTTTGGGTAACCTTGCAGTATGAAAGAAAAAAAAATAAAAAGGAAGACTTGAGGGGCCAAAGTGGAAGGAAAGAGGGGCAATGAACTTTGGTGTTTGGTGAACTTTGTGAACCTGATGCTTTTAAAAGTTCCTGCCAGCAGAGCAGGAAAGCTTCTCTTTGCCTATTTGAGTCTAAGGCTTCTGGTTCTATTAGTGCCTATGTTACCCTGGAATTCTCTTAACCTTTTGCAGATTTATTATAGGGTTGTCTGGTTTTACCTCAGTGGAGTTTTACAGGTAGAGGAAATGGAGACCCAGAAAAGTATTATATGATATTTAATGAGGGACACATCTCCTCTAGAAACAAGGTAGTAAGACCTGATAGTTTCTGTCTCTTGGTAGATGAAGTTCGGGCAGGAACCTACCGTCAGCTCTTCCATCCAGAGCAGTTGATCACAGGGAAGGAGGATGCAGCTAACAACTATGCCCGGGGCCACTACACAGTGGGCAAGGAGAGCATCGACCTGGTGCTGGACCGCATACGGAAGCTGGTAAGTATTAACAAGGGTAGGGAATTGATGAGTCAGGCTAAAATGGACAGGCCTAAGCATGAACAGAATTAGTGGAGGCACATGACCCCTGGCTACAGAATAGAGCTCCTAAGATTTGGGAATTTTTGCTTATGTTGTGTAAGAAGCATTCATAGTGATGATGCCCCTTCCTCCACCTGGACATCATGAACTACCCTACAGGCCAATGCCCTACTAATTCTTATTGATACTCTATGGTAGTATCTGGGGGAAATTTCAGGTATAAGGAAGGCTAGCTCTTTGCTTGTTGGAAGCATAGGTTAACACAGAATTTAACTTGGAAGAGAAGAGGAAGAGATTATTGATATATTTGAGCACTTACAAATGCCATTACAAATGTCAATTAGATACGTTCTTCACTTAATTCCCTTAATAATCATACAGAGAAAGAGAAAGTCATTTCCCTGTACTTTACAGATGAAGAAATTGAGGGCCAGGGTGGCTTAATAATTTAGCCTGGGTCACACAACTAGAAAGTGGCAGAGTTAGGATTTGAATCAGGTTGTTTTGGCTAGAAAGCTCTGAGTTGTAGGGTGGGCCACTTTATCTCTTTGAGCTTTCATTTCCTTATCTTTACAATGGAAATGGTTGGACTTGATCAGGGGTTCTTGGGAGCTAAGGATGCCAAATTTTTGTATATGTTCACTTTTTCTGTTTAGTGGGGGGCTCATAGGGGTTATCTGTCTCAAAGCCGTGTGTGGGCCCCTAAAGTTCAGAACCAGTATCATAGATCATACCCAATGGGAAAATTTGTGACTGTATGAATTCCTTTAGTTATGATAAGAGAGAGGTAACATTGAGTACTTACTATGTATCAAGTCCTTGCTCAACATATCATGCTATCTCATTTGATAATCACAATAACCTTGAGAGATGATTATATTTTTTATTGCCCTACTTTAGTCAGGAAGAAACAGAAATCTAGAGAGGTTCAATAACTTGCTCAAGTTTTTACAACTGGGAATTGACAAAATTGATACTAAAGCTCAGGTTCTCTGACTCCATTTATATTTCTGAAATTGGTACCCTGAGCCACCTTTCAAGGCTCCTTTCAGCAGCTCCCACAAAACCAATGACAAGGGCAGGGAAAATGGGCAAGGAGTTGGGGTTCTCAAAGGGCAAAGTTATTAATCATTGTGGTTCTGAAACTCTTATTCCTGGTTCAACCAAGCCACTGGGCTGGAAACTTCCATGTACCTAGTGGCATGTACCTGTGCTGTTTGCCACCCTATATATTTTAGCTAGTCCTCTCAAGATCAACTCAACTCCTTTTATCTTACTTCTTCAAGGCTGTTTTGATTTTACCTACATAAAAATGTTGAGGTTTGCTTGCCTATGTTGACATGAGGGTATTCTCGTAAACTTGTCTTCATCATTTCTTCTCATGCTCTACTCTCCCCAGACAGATGCCTGCTCTGGCTTGCAGGGCTTTCTGATCTTCCACAGTTTTGGTGGGGGCACTGGCTCTGGCTTCACTTCTCTGCTGATGGAACGGCTCTCCCTGGATTATGGCAAGAAGTCCAAGCTAGAGTTTGCTATCTACCCAGCCCCTCAGGTCTCCACTGCAGTGGTGGAGCCCTACAACTCCATTCTGACCACTCACACCACACTGGAACATTCAGATTGTGCTTTTATGGTGGATAATGAAGCCATCTATGACATCTGCCGCAGGAACCTAGACATCGAGCGCCCCACCTATACCAATCTCAACCGCCTTATCAGCCAGATTGTGTCTTCCATCACTGCCTCTCTCCGCTTTGATGGGGCCCTTAATGTGGACCTCACTGAGTTCCAGACCAATCTGGTACCCTACCCCCGCATCCACTTCCCACTGGTCACTTATGCACCCATTATATCTGCTGAGAAAGCCTATCATGAACAACTCTCCGTGGCTGAGATAACCAGCTCCTGCTTTGAGCCCAACAGTCAGATGGTGAAGTGTGACCCAAGACATGGGAAGTACATGGCCTGCTGCATGCTCTACCGGGGGGACGTGGTGCCTAAGGATGTGAATGTCGCTATTGCTGCCATCAAAACCAAGAGGACTATTCAGTTTGTAGATTGGTGTCCCACAGGCTTTAAGGTGAGAGCTGATGACTTAGGGAGAAGAGAGACAAATAAAGAAGCAGAGGGAGATTACCAGGGATGGGGGAGGAAGATGTGTAAATTCCAGGGTCTTAGACATACAATTCCATGGGAGCTTCAGGCTTCATGGGATGATATGGGAGGAGGGCTTAAGACAAATATAACCGTAATTTCATTAGTTCATTCATTTTAGGTAAGGAGAGACTTTATTTGAAAGGATTATTGAAAGAAGCAGGAGGAGGACAATTGCAATACTCAGAGGGGCAATACTGCAGTAGGGAGAAGGCTCTTACTGCTCCTGAACCCTAACATCTGCAGGTATCTCAAAGGTCAGGAAGAAAAGGGCTTTTCTCTAGTAAGGAGGACTGAACAGGCTGGAAAGAACCCATGCAGGCAAGTGGGATGAACAGGATGAATGAGTGGAGGTAGATGTAATCTGACAATAGATCAGAGAATGGAGTTAACCAAATTAATTCAAGTTACCAGAGAGATATAATTCCCTCCTTTAACAAAAGATGTGTTCCTCTCCCAATTTATTTTGAAAAGTTAAATATTCATCCTGTAAGTCTTAATTAACTTAGAGTGAGGATAAGGAAATTTTATGGTTACTATAGGATTGTGAGTCACTTATTTTGTGAAGCCCTGACATTTTCCATTAACCAGGAGTAAGAAGAAGCTGAGGAAGCCTGTTGTAGATCAGGTGTCCGCACTCTGGAAAATGCCAGACTCTGAGGGTTAGTGGGTAGGTACAATAGCCAGGGAAAACCCATGGATCTCAGGACTAGTGAATGTTGAATGTTAGAAGTCACTCCTTTGAGTTGCACTGACAAGGCATGCAGCTGGCTCTGTGCATGTGAACTGTTTGACCACTTTGTCCTGTGTTCCCATGGTCTTTAATCAGATTCCATTATCAAAATAATTACCATCATTTACATTAATTAGTAACCCCCAGCCATGCCTTTAATAGTTCAGAGGTTCACTCAGCACCAGGGGTGGTTATACCAGTTGCTAGATATACAGAGATAAGCATGTCTGTTTTTCCCTGATGGTGCTTACAAAAACAAGGCATCATGTGCCAGTCTCTTGACTGACCTATTTGCATATGAGGCTTTGACCTAGCTGATCTCCTTTTGTAACATTTTCCCTCACTGCTATACTCCTAGCTATATACACAATCTTTCCCTCCTAGACTACACCTATTTTTATGGATCAGTTTTGATCATTCATGTGAAAATTATCAAGATCTTCCAAAATATGGAGTTCTTTTTAAATTTTTAAAATGGAAACAACAAAACAAGCTAGTAGGAAAATGAATAGGAAAAAAGAAAAAATGAGATGTGAGGGTGGTGGGGAAGTTAACAAAAAGGAGATGCCTCTCATTCTCTCTCTTCTATTTTAAGCTGAAGTTTGGGGATTATGTCCAGAACGATAGGTAGGTCTAGCATCTTTAGCTGCTTTTTGGAAAAGCTTATGTTTGTTGAACTTCATCCTCTCACATCCTCCCCAAGGGAGTTTGTCCCTATTTGACTCAGTTGAAGGGATAATTACTATTTGAGAGAGGAGAGTTGGCTCCAGGCACAAAGTTTTTTGCTGGTCAGGGTCAGATCTAGCAAAATACGTGATACAGCAAAGTTTTTATTCATTGCCCATCCCCTTCTCATTTTTGGTCCTTTGCCCCTGTCGCAGCCTCACCTCTACCACCAAGATACTACTTTTGTCTAAGAGGAATGATAGATGATTGTGAATTCATTTAATGGGCTACACACTTGGCTATATAGCCTGCTGTAACTCCTCCCTACATCTCAAGAGAACATGCATTTTAAAGCTATGAAATTAAGAGGCTGATAAATAAGGCATGATGACCTGGGTAGGAGAGGTATTTTTTGGATAGTACTGTGGTTCTGTGTCCCATAAATATTATCACAGTTTTACCTTCGACTTCTTCCAGTTTTCTGGGATTGGCTTTGGTTTGGGATATGTGTATGGGGAGAAGGGAGATTTCTCAGTGCCCCTAATATCAGATTGGGTTAGCTTAGAGGACCCTGCCATGCTACCATATCTTGGGAAGTTGGCTTGTCCAGGCAAGAGTTTTAATTAACTTTCTTTGATTGAAGTCCTTGCTTTTCTTCTAACAAGCCTCACTCCCCTGAGACATGGGGCCAGGTTAACACTAACACCATCTCCAGGACCTTTTGGATTTTTAAATTTATTGCTCTGGATTATCTCCATGATTTTTTTTTAATTTAAATTCAATTAGCCAATGTATAGTACATCATTAGTTTTTGATATAATGTTCAATGATTCATTAGCTGAATATAACACCCAGTGCTCATCATATCATGTGCCCTCTTTAATTCCCATCACCTAGTTACCCCATCCCCCCACCCACCTCCCTGATCTTTAAACAGCCCTTTGCCCTTGGCAGAGAAATTTCCCTAAATTTTTTGACAGTATAACTAAGAAACTTTAGATGACCATGTGGAAAAGAGTAAACTTCAAGTCTAGAAATTAATTTGCCTATAAAGGGGATCTATTTCCCTTTTCAAGATAAACATGTAGTATACACCCCCCCTTAATAATAATCTCATTCATTACCCTCATTTGTCTACTTGAATCTCACCCACTAACATTTCTACCTATTACCAGCCCTGTTCTCCTCCTTTTCTTTTCTTAAAAGATTTTATTTATTTGTTGGGGTGGGGAGAGAGAGAGAGAGAGAGAGTGAGAGCTCACAAGCAGGGGAGTGGCAGGCAGAGGGAGAAGTAGGCTCCCCATTGAGCAAGGAGCCTGCTGTGGGACTCGATCCCAGGACCCCGGGGTCATGACCTGAGCCAAAGGCAGACACTTAACTGAGCCACCCAGGCATCCCTGTTCTCCTCCTTTTCTTTTGCAGTTTTTATTTTTTTCTTCCAAGTTTTTATTTAAATTCCAGCTAGCCTTTTGCAGTCTTTAGATTTTATAACCCTTCCCTTGAATTTGCCTTCACCCAGTTCTACTCACTTTTAATTTCTCTTCAACACTCACTTCTCTCTACCTGTCTGTTTTTCAAACCTTTTGGTTCCTTCTTTTCACATCTAGGCCTGCTCCCATTCCCACCCCATGACTGTGTCTTGCTACCACACCATGTTACCAAGATAACCCCATCTTGAGTTATCCTTTGGCTGCTCTGCATTTTCTTTTCTTGCTCCTCTTCTTTCTCTGTTCCTCAGGTGGGCATCAACTATCAGCCACCCACCGTGGTGCCAGGAGGGGACCTGGCCAAAGTCCAGCGGGCTGTTTGCATGCTGAGCAACACTACTGCAATTGCGGAGGCCTGGGCCCGCCTAGACCACAAGTTTGACCTCATGTATGCCAAGCGGGCCTTTGTGCATTGGTATGTTGGAGAGGGAATGGAAGAAGGAGAATTTTCTGAGGCCAGGGAGGACCTGGCTGCTCTGGAGAAGGATTATGAAGAAGTGGGGACTGATTCATTTGAAGAAGAAAATGAAGGGGAGGAGTTTTAAATATAACACTTTCCCCTTGGCTGTGTCTCTTTATTTATGCTTCTCCACTCAAAGCACGTTTAACTATTCCAAGAGTAACAGACTATACTCCTAAGCCCAGACTAATTTCTGTTTTCCATTAGAAGAGGTATCTAACACCAGTGCCTGTGGGTGATTGGGCCAAAAATGAATGCTGAGCTATTCAGACCCTCCCTTGGGTAAAAGCAGCTTTGTGTCACACACACACACAAAAAATGAGAGTCACTGTCTCTAGTTAGGGTGAAGCCAGGTTACATGTTGTGAAGAGACCTAATCAGGATTTTAAATTCTGGATTAGTCTGGGCCCACCCTAAAATGTAGCCTGTTGGCTATGGAAAGATCTGGGCATTGGGAAGATTGAAGGAAGGAAGGGAGTGACACTGTTAGAGAGTGAGAAACAAGACAGACACATTTCCTGCCCTTGTAAAAACACAAATAAATGAACGAGATAATTCAGGTAGTGTTAACTGATATGAAGTAAAAAAAAAAAAAAACCATGATGAGGGAAAGTGTCTGGGGGAATGCTCCTTTAGACTGGGTAGTCAGAAAAAGCCTCATGGAGACCTGAGTGACAGGAGAGAGCCATCATGTGAAGTTCTGGAGTTAGAGAATGCTGGACATAGAACAAAACACAGATGTGGGAACAAGCTTATGTCCGAAGAACATAAAGGAGGTCAATGTGCCTAGAGGATGGTGTGAGATGGAGATGAGATCCCAGAGCCAAGCTGGGGCCAGAGCATACAGACCATGGTAAGGAGTTTAGATTTTTCTCTAAGTGAAACAAACTATTTGGAAGGTTTTAAGCAGGATATACCATACTTTATATATGTACATACCTTATCTCTAATCCTCCCAAAAATCTCAAATGGATATTCTGCTCATTTTATAGATGAAGAAACTGGGGTTTACAGAGTTGATATGTTGCATATAGTAAGAAAGCTCAGATAACAGGGACTACCAATTCTATTCTTTTGTCTACCTGCACTGTTTCTATGCCTTGGTATCTGTGCCCAGGTTTCAACTGCTGCTTCATAGAATGATGGATGGAGGAGAAACAAAAGTATATAACATTTACAAAAGAGAGGATGAGTTAATGCATCTCTTCTCTGAAGTTGGCAGCTCTGGTAGGATTTTAGGAAAATCAAAAAGCCGTTCTTATGCAACTACTATTGGTAAGATACCCAGGGTTGGGACCACAGTAGGTCCCTGTGTATTAAATGTACATCTTGTTAATTATTGATTTTCCCTAATTTTTATTGTATATTCCTTGGTAGCCCTGAGAAAAATAGAATAAAATGTTCCAAGAAAAGGAAGGTTAGGTAAGAAGTAATGCTAATCACTTCTAGAGGATTGTCTTCAGAGAAACCATACTTCCTTGCTCTTCTATGAAGGAGATCATGGTAAAAAAAAAAAAAAGGAGGTCCAGATCTGCTGTCCATTGTGAGCTCCCTTATCTGAGGATCATTCCTGCACCAAGTCCCATAGGTATCTGCATAGACAAATTTATTAGAGAATTGTATTAGAGAATTAGGGTCAGGAACTCAGGAAGGGGCATATTCTCTCTTGATGCAAGTTGAGAGACCTACCCATGGGATTTCAGATAAGCCTCAAAACTTCCTGGGTGTGTAACTATGACCTAATTAGGGAGAAAATAACACATCCTCAAGGCCAAGGTTTAGGGCTGTGGTAAATCACTCATGGTGTGTTCCTTTCCTTTAGACTTATGTGAATTATGTGAATTATTAGAATTATGTGAAAGCTAATGCATTCAGATAAGGGAAAATAGAAGAATAATAGTTGGAAATGAAGAAGTAAAACTATTTCTATTTGTAAATGATATGATGGTACATTTGGAAAACCCTATTCTATAAGACTAACTTAAACAAAATATGTCAGTATGGTAGCAGGGTATTAGTAGCCTTGATTTCACAAATACAATAATTGGTTAGTGGAGGAAGAAACTTCTGTTAAGAACAGAAACAAAAAGAGAAATACTTAGAAATAACAATTTAACTAGAAAGGTTTAGAAGCCTTTATGAGAAAACTTTAAACTCAAAGACACAAAAATAGCCTTGAACAAATTTAAAGACATTCCTTATTATTGGATAGTAACTGTCAACAAAATAAATATATTATTCTCCCTAAGGTAATTTATAAATTTGATGTAATCCAATAAAAATGCCCATTTTATTTTTTTTGCCCATTACTTTTTCTTAAAAAACCTTTATTGTGAGATAATTAGGGATTCACAGGAAGTTGCAAAAATGATACAGAGAGGTTTACCCAGTTTCCTCCAACAATTATATTTTACATAATATCAAACTCAGGAAATTGACATTGACACCATTTGTGGGCATATCTCTATGCTATTTTATCACTTGTGTATATTTGTGTAATTACCACTCCAGTCAAGACAAGAAACTGTTCTATCACTACAAAGATCTCTCTCCTGCTACCCCCTTTATTCCTACTCATCCTCCTCCCCCAACCCTTAAACATTGGCCATCACTAATTTTTTTCCCATCTCCATAGTTTTGTTACCTTGAAAATGTTGTACAGGTGGAGTTACATAGTATATAAGTTTACCTGTATTTCTAGTTCTTTAAGAGTTTTAAATCATAAATAGGAGTTGAATTTTGTTAAATGCCATTTTTGCATCAGTTAATTTTGATCACGTGATTTTCTTCTTTAGCCTGCTGATATGGTGGATTACATTGATTTTTGAATATTGAACCGTCTTTGTATCCTTGGAATAAAACCTTACCTAATCAAGGTGTATAATTCTTTTTATATATTGCTGAATTCTATTTGCTAACATTTTGTGAAGAATTTTCACATCAGTATCCATAAAGAATATTGGTCTGCAGTTTTCTTTCCTTTTTGCACTTTGTCTGATTTTGGTATCAGGGTACTATTACAGGGAAACCAACTGGGCCTGGAGATTTCTTTTTTGAATTGTAAAAATTAAAAGTTCAATTTCTTTAAAACTTATGGAGTTATTCAAACTATCTCATGTTGGTGAGGTATGGTAGTTTGTGCTTTTCAAAGAATTGTTCAGTTCAAATAAGTTGTCAAATTTATGTGTGTATACTTGTTTATAGTATTCTCTTATGCTTTTATATCTGCAGGGTTTGTAATAGCATCTCCTTTTAAATTCCTGATATTGGTAATTTGTATCATCTCTCTTTTTTCTTTTTTTAAATTTAATTTTATTTAAATTCAACTAAATAACATACAGTGTATTATTAGTTTCAGAGGTAGAAGTCAATGATTCTCTCTTTTTTTTCTTTGTCAGTCTTGCTAGAGGTTTGTCAATTTTACTCATCTTTCAAAGATTACATTTTCTATTTCTCTGATTTTTCTACATTTGTTTTCAATTTCATTGATTTATCCTATATTTCTTCCTTCTTTTTGTTTTCGGTTTCTATTGCTCTTTTTTACTAGTTTCTTACAGTGAGAACTTACCTTACTAATTAGCGACTTTTCTTCTCTAACAAAAACATTTAGTGCTATAAATTTCTTTCTTCCTTTTTTTAAAGATTTTATTCATTTCTTTGACAGAGAGCAGGAGAGAGAGCAAGAGAAAGCACAAGCTGGGGGAGCACTAGAAGGAGAGGGAGAAGCAAGCTCCCCAACGAGCAGGGAGCCCAATGCCGGGCCTGATCCCAGGATCCTGGGATCATGACCTGAGCAGAAAGCAGACGCTTAACCGACTAAGCCACCCAGGAGCCTATATAATTCTTTCTTAGTACTGTTTTAGTTATGACCCACAATTTTTTAAAAAAAAATTTATTTAAATTAATTAATTTTTTTAATGGATTAAGAATTAATTTGTTTATTATGTTCAGTTAGCCAACATAGAGTACATCATTAGTGTCTGATGTAGTGTTCAATGATTCATTGGTTGCGTATAGCACCCAGTGCTCATCACAACATGTGCCCTTCTTAATACCATCACTCGGTTACCCCTTCCCCCTCCGCCCTTCCCTCTGTAACCTTCAGTTTGGTTCCTGGAGTCCAGAGTCTCTCATGGTTCCTCTCCCTCTCTGATTTCTTCCCATTCAGTTTTCCCTCCCTTGTCCTGTTGTCCTCTGTGCTATTCCTTATGTTCCATATATAAGTGAAAGCATATGATAATTGCTTTTCTCTACTTGACTTATTTCACTTAGCATAATCCCCTCCAGTTCCATCCATGTCGATGCAAATGGTAGGTATTCATCTTGATGGCTGAATAATATTCCATTGTATATATGAACCACATCTTTATCCATTCATTTGTTGAAGGACATCACGGCTCCTTCCACAGTTTAGCATGAACATTGGGGTGCATGTGCCCCTTCTTTTCACTACATCTGTATCTCTGGGGTAAATACCCAGGAGTGCAATTGCTGGGTTGTAGGGTAGCTCTATTTTGAACATCTTGAGGAACCCCCATACTGTTTTCCAGAGTGGCTGTACCAGCTTGTATTCCCACCAACAGTGTAGGAGGTTTCCCCCTTCTCCGCATCCTCATCAACATTTGTTGTTTCCTGTCTTGTTAATTTTGGCCATTCTAAATGGTGTAAGGTGGTATCTCATTATGGTTTTGATTTGTATTTCCCTGATGGCTAGTGATGTTAAACATTTTTTCATGTGTCTGTTGGCCATTTGTATGTCTTCTTTGGAGAAGGGTTTGTTCAGGTCTTCTGCCCATTTCTTGACTGAATTATTTGTTTTTTGGATGTTGAGTTTGAGAATTTCTTTATAGATCTTGGATACCAGCCCTTTATCTGATAAGACATGTGCAAATATCTTCTCCCATTCCGTGGGTTGCCTCTTAGCTTTGTTGACTGTTTCCTTTACTGTGCAGAAGCTTTTTATCTTGATGAAGTCCCAAAAGTTCATTTTTGCCTTTGTTTCCCTTGCCTTTGAAGACGTGTCTAGCAAGAAGTTGCTGTGGTTGAGGTCAAAGAGGTTACTGCCTATGTTCTCCTCTAAGACTTTGATGAATTCCTGTCTCACATTTAGGTCTTTCATCCATTTTGAATTTATTTTTATGTATGGTGTAAGAAAGTGGTCCAGTTTCATTCTTCTGCATGTGGCTATCCAATTTTCCCACCACCATTTGTTGAAGAGACTGTCTTCTTGCCATTGGATATTCTTTCCTGCTTTGTCATTCTGGTTCCATACAAAATTTAGGATTGTTTGGTCCAGCTCTATGAAAAATGTCGATGGTATTTTGATAGGGATTGCACTGAATGTGTAGATTGCTCTGGGCAGCATGGACATTTTCACAATGTTTATTCTTCCAATCCATGAACATGGAATGTTTTTCCATCTCTTTGTGCCTTCCTCAATTTCTTTCATAAGTGTTCTGTAGTTTCTAGAGTATAGATCCTTTACCTCTTTGGTTAGGTTTATTCCTAGGTAACTTATGGTTTTGGGGGCTATTGTAAATGGAATCGATTCCTTAATCTCTTCCTTCAGTCACATTGTTAGTGTATAGAAATGCAACTGATTTTTGTGCATTGATTTTATATCCTGCCACTTTACTGAATTCCTGTGTGAGTTCTAGCAATTTTGTGGTGGGGTTTTTTGGGTTTTCTACATAGAGTATCATGTGATCAGCCAAGAGTGAAAATTTGACTTCTTTGCCAATTTGGATGCCTTTTATTTCTTTTTGTTGCCTGATTGCTGAGGCTAGGACTACCAGTACTATGTTTAACAACAGTGACAGTGGGCATCCCTGTCATGATCCTGACCTTAGGGGAAAAGCTCTCAGTTTTTCCCTGTTGAGGATGATATTCACTGTCGGTTTTTCTTATATGGCTTTTATGATATTGTGGTATGTTCCCTCTATCCCTGCACTGCAGAGAGTTTTTTATCAAGAACAGATGCTGTAGTTTGTCAAATGCTTGTTCTGCATCTATTCAGAGGATCATATGGTTCTTGTCCTTTCCTTTATTAATATAGTATATCACATTGATTGATTTGTGGATGTTGAACCATCCTTGCATCCCAGGAATAAATCCCACTTGGTCCTGGTGAATAATCCTTTGAATGTACTGTTGGATCCTATTAGCTAGTATCTTGGTGAGAATTTTTGCATCCATGTTCATCAGGGATACTGGTCTGTAATTCTCTTTTTTGATGGGGTCTTTGTCTGGTTTGGGGATAAGGGTAATGCTGGCCTCATAGAATGACTTTGGAAGTTATCCTTCCATTTCTGTTTTTTGAACCAGCTTCAGAAAAATAGGTACTAATTCTTCTTTAAATGATTGGTAGAATTCCCCTGGGAAGCCATCCAGCTCTGGATTCTTGTTTTTTGGGAGATTTTTGATTACTGTGTCAATTTCCTTGCTGGTTATGGATCTGTTCAGGTTTTCTGTTTCTTCCTTGTTCAGTTTTGGTAGTTTATATGTTTCTAGGAATGCATCCATTTCATCCAGATTGCCTAATTTGTTGGCATATTGTTGCTCATAATATGTTCTTATAATTGTATTTCTTTGGGGTTGGTTGTGATCTCTCCTCTTTCATTCATGATTTTGTTAATTTGGGGCTTTCCTCTTTTCTTTTTGATTCGTCTGGCTAGGGGTTTATCGATCTTAATTCTTTCTAAGAACCAGCTCCTAGTTTCATTGATCTGTTCTACTGATCTGTTCAACTGATCTGTTGTTGTTGTTGTTGTTTTAGTTTCTATGTCATTGATTTCTGCTCTCATCTTTATTAATTCTCTTCTCCTGCTGGATTTAGGCTTTATTTGCTGTTCTTTCTCCAACTCCTTTAGGTGTAAGGTTAGGTTGTGTATTTGAGACTTTTCTTGTTTCTTGAGGAAGGCCTGTATTGCTATATACTACCCTGCTAGGACCATCTTTGCTGCATCCCAAAAGTTCTGAACTGTCATGTTTTCATTTTCATTTACTTCCATGTATTTTTTTTTTAATTCTTCTTCAGTTTCCTGGCTGACCCATTCATTCTTTACTAGGATGCTCTTTAACTTCCATGTATTTGTGGTCTTTCCAAATGTTTTCTTGTAGTTGACTTCAAGTTTTAAAGCATTGTGGTCTGAAAATATGCATGGAATAATCTCGATCTTTTGGTACTGGTTGACACTTGACTTGTGACCCAGTATGTAATCTATTCTGGCGAATATGCACTTGGAGTGTACTTGAGAAGAAAGTGTATTCTGCTGTTTTAGGATGAAATGCTCTGACTATATCTGTGAAATCCATCTGGTCCAGTGTGTCATTCAAAGCCCTTGTTTCCTTGCTGATCTTTTTTGTAGATGATCTGTGTATTGCTGTGAGGTGTTAAAGTCCCCTACTATTATTGTATTGTTGTCAATGTGTTTCTTTGATTTTGTTATTAATTGGCTTATATAATTGGCTTCTTCCAAGTTAGGGGCATAAATATTTACAACTGCTAGATCTTCTTGTTGGATAGGCCCTTTTATTATGATAGAGTGTCCTTCTTCATCTCTTATTACAGTCTTTGGTTTAAAATCTAGTTTGATATAAGGATGGCTACTTTAGCTGTCTTTGGATGTCCATTGGCATGATAAATGGTTCCCCACCCCCCTCACTTTCTTTTTTTTTTAAAGATTTTATTTATTTATTTGACAGAGAGAGACACAGTGAGAGAGGGACACAAGCAGGGGGAGTGGGAGAGGGTGAAGCAGGCTCCCCACTGAGCAGGCAGCCTGATGTGGGGCTCAATCCCAGGACCCTGGGATCATGACCTGAGCTGAAGGCAGACACTTAATGAGAGAGCCACCCAGGCACCCCATCCA